GAAACCCAAAGAAAATGAAGATGCAAATCTTACAAAAGCACCATTTTTCCATGATGGTATACCATATTAAGTCACAAGTGTCTTCTTGCCTAGTTTGTAAATGTTTAAATTCGACAGACATCCGAATAAACCTCAACTCCAACTAATTCCTAAGTTATTATTAACAAATTTTCCAAACTCTTGCCAATTGAATCTAAGTCGGCGATACATTTTACTTCACTGCACCGAAAACAATGGTGTCAGATAATGAAAGGGGCGTACTTTGTGGACGGTTCTCAACTATTTACAGTCTTTGGGAATCGCTGTGTACTACCACCAACCAATAACCATACAACATATAGACTGGTTATTTCATACAACGAAAATGGACCCAAAAATTTCTTAGCGACAGGCCCCAGAGCTCATAGCAGCAGGCCCCGGACGCTTCATGTGCGTTCGGGTTTTTTGCGCTCTCATTCTTATTCTCATTTTGATGCTCGCGCACTCATTGCCTACCCTAATAACGATTGTATTTTGAAGGAGCGGGAGAAGCTCGAAAAGAACGTAGCATACGAAAATTATCCTTTTTATAATGCTATCTTACCAATAACAAAATTGGATATATTAAATATATTAAAAATCATTAAAGAGATTGATTTATATTAATTATATTATACATACATATTATACATACATATATGCAAATCATTGTACTGCTACAACTGATTTGAATTTGTAAATCTTCATGTTGATTTACAAATTCAAATCAGTAATGCTGAAATATTAAAAATATATTATAACATATAATATTCTTAATATTACACATTATGAAAAGTAGCAAGAGACAAAATATTCTTGCCGCATCCAATTGAAATAATCGTACACATACACCCCTGTATGAGAATGCATGAACACGCATACATATAAAGACCAATTCAAGCGCAGGCGCAACCTTCTTCAAAATGCGCCTCTCTGCGACTGAACGATTCAACTCATGCAATGAGCGCGCGAGCATCAAAATGAGAATAAGAATGAGAGCGCAAAAAACCCGAACGCACATGAAGCGTCCGGGGCCTGCTGCTAAGAGCTCTGGGGCCTGTCGCTAAGAAATTTTTGGGTCCATTTTCGTTGTATGAAATAACCAGTCTATATGTTGTATGGTTATTGGTAGTACACACTAGACTTCTGCATGAATGTACTCATTTGTAGCATGACAGATCTGTACAGTAGTGTAGTGTTCTTAAAAATACTGCACTCATTTTTTACTGTACAGTAGACTCTATAGGCCAGAAAAAGATAGCACAACATTTTCAGTGTACTCACTTCGAGTGAGTACAGCATATAGTTGTAGTCTTCGTGAGTGAGTACTACATTTGTCCTTTTTTAAACACGCTGTACAGCTTGTGTGTTGACTGTGTACAACTGTGCAGATGAGTGCAGTCAAAAATTGCCACCACTGAAGACATGGCAAATAAAATAATGTTCCTTCATTCCAATATTAATAACTTAAATATAGATTCTTTAATAACATAAAATAATTATTATAATAACTATTAATTAAAATATTAAAAATTTATAAATTCTTTATTTTATAAAAAATACATTTGAAACAAAAATACAAATCAATTTTTTAATCGTATTCTTTCTATGAATAGTTCACACGAAAACTATATATGTGTGTATGTACCAGCCAATTTCACTTACTGTACAGTAAGTCAACTGCACACCAAAACACTGTACAGTGCGTTGACTACACCAATTTTGCTGTACTCATCAACAGCTGTACAACTATGGAATGAGTGAGAACACTGTCAATCAAAACACACAATACTACCCTACTTACTCACACCCAAATATACTGTGCAGAAAAAAAGTGTGCCCACTTCTAGAATAAGTGATTCATTTGTCGTGTTGGATGCATTCATGCAGAAGTCTACTACACACCATCCCAAAAGAGGAAAGTGAAAGGAAAGATTAAAAGGTTCCATTCAACTTTTATCAACATTTAAAGGCGCTTGAAAGGCGAACATCCCGACCGTTCCGATTTATATACTACGTGCAAAGGAACGAAAGGTGTGTGCAAGGTTTCAATTCGATATCTTTAAAACTGAGAGACTCAGATTTCGTAGAAACAGACAGACGGACGGACAAACGGACAGATAGACGGACAGACGGACTTGCTTTTATCAACTCAGGACGCGATCCTGTTCAAGAATATATATACTTTATAGGGTCGGAGATGTCTGCCTCACTGCGTTGCACACTTTTGACCAAAATTATAAAAACAACAAGCAGATAGCTTTAAAACTGAGGGACTAGTTTGCGTAGAGGCGGACATGGAAAGATCCACTCCCCTGGTGATGCTGATCAATAATATATATACTTTATACGGTCGGAAATGTCTCCATCACTGCAATGCAATCTTTTGACTGAAATTATAATACCCTATTCAAGAGTATAAAACATCGACGGATAGGCTCAATTAAAAACAAGAAAGGAAGCAAACTTCGGCAAGCCGAAGTTTATATACCCTTGCAGTGATTACAAATCCACTACATTTCGATTTGTATGCCTATATTACTAATAACAATGAAGCTATGTCGATTTTAAGCTGACTAGTTTGCGTAGAAACGGACGGACGGACGAACAGACGGACTTGGCTAGATCGACTCTCCTGGGTCGGAATTATTTCCTTCACTGCGTAGCAAACTTTTGACTGAAATTAGAATACCCTCTGCAAGGGTAAGAAAAAAGTTCAAAGCCTATCATCTACAACAGGGGAAAACAGTCTATGTCTCGAATAAACAAGTTAAAAACAAAGACAAACAGCGATTCAAAACAGAAGAGGTAAAAGAGGATGCTAGAGTCAATTAAGTCAAACTAAATCATGGAAACTTATTCATAAATCTCATTTAAAAAGTAAGGAAAAAAAAATACAAATTATAATAAGCAAAAAAAGCGAAATTATTAGGAGTACAAAAAAAATATAAATAATATAAGACTTAAGACTTTGCCAACACCTAGCGGGTGAGAACAGCAAAGAAGCAACTCTCTTCCTAGAATGGCGATCTTGCACGTCGCAAACGCACTTCACATATTCAGATTCGATGCGCCGGTCATCGCACTTCAACAAGGAGTCGCTTGGCGTGTCAATGAGGTTTGAATACCCCTCCTACATGTAAATCTACCTACAACAACTGCAGCAATTCATCAAAAAGACCACCGAAGAACATTCTGCAGGAGGCTACGGACGGGATCACCAAGATGACCGCTACAGCTCACCGCAGTCCCTGCTTCTTAAATTGGCTGGCGTCTGGCTGAAAATGGGTCACCAGGTCACCCTTGCCTCAGACTGGAATATTATCCTCCAGTCACAAGACAAAGTAGTCAGAAACGATAATCAAAAAATTAAAATCAACACAAGATTGTTCAACGTCACACACGTCTCGCTGCAGAAACTAGACAATATTTTGGCAATGGTAAACTCTTTCGACGGAGACGTACATGTAGCCACGGTACTACTACAAGAGCCAGTCAACTGGCGAAGACGGGAGTCGTAAACATCATAAAGAGGTGGAGTCCTTCATACCAACATATAGTGGAGGCAGTGGAATTTTCTGAGCCATCAATAATGATCAACGGACCTTAACTACTATACGTTCGAGTGACCCATGGTGGTGGATAGGAAATACCGACTAATGCTCATGTATCCCACTATTTCCGCCGGGAAACGTGTGGTTTTGGAATTTAACAAATTGTGGACATTTAACAAATGGACACCCAAGAATCGTACGCCGTAGGAGGAGTTAACAGTGCAGCTTTTCTCCTCGACGGTTGAGATCAGCAAGTGCGCCGGCAATAAAACAGCAACAATGTGTGGCGGTCACTGTCTGCAATGCGGAAGCCGACGTCGACCCCAACGGCTAGGCCAGTTCGAAATTTGGCTAACTAGGAACGCCTGAACCTGGCAGAATTGGACTGAAAAAGACGATTCAAGTGATCACAAGAGCTACAGCTTATTTAACAAAATGTATAAAATTGAAAAATGTATATTTTTTAAGACTAAACACATATCAAAACCATTATATAAATGTTCAGAAAGTTATGATTTTTGGACGAGGCTAATTTTGGAAAAAAACGTAGGCGTAGAATTTCAAATCATTAAGAGAGCTGATATAGTCATGCCGTCTCTCCGTTTATATGGAACAACTTTCAAGCTCACTTTACTTCAAACATTCAAATCGAGTTTGAAAACTCAGGTGATCGGACGGGTATATCCATTTCCTTATGACTTATTTTGCCAAGGTAGTTGATAAAAGGCTCTTTCCCGCAAATACCATATTTAAATTTTAACTGCTTGTCAACAAGCCCAGCTGATTGACAGTACGACCAAAGACCAATATAATCATTTATATTGGTCTTTGGTACGACCGTAGCACGCTTTATTCTGCTGAACTCTCGAAATTTTGGTCACACTGGAAAGATTAATGTTTTTACGCTATCGTTCTCGTTTGTCGATCTGAGTACTATACTTTAACAAATAATGCGTAAATCTATTGATTATGTAGGATTAGAAATGTTAGTACAAGTGGCTCTCACTAGGTCAAGAATATCAGAAGAACTAACAACTAGAGTTATTTTAAGTTACACGACCACAGTTCGTTCTAATTTAATTAAATTAATATTTTAATCAAAAATTTATCCATTGAAAGTATAAATTCGTTTAACTAAATCTATTCCGGGCTGAAATGTGCGGATGGAATGTTCATATAAACTACATACAAATTTCAAACCATTTTCGGGCGAAAAGATTTCTATGTCTCCCCAGTTCGTCCAGTGAGTGGTTCCGCAAATCAAATTTTTTTTAAACAATATCCTGTAACTTTGCCTCACAAAACACACATCTTTATTATCATACAAATATGACAATTATTATCAATTATTTAAATAGTTAAATAATCTGTTATCTTTGTATGCCGCGAACTTACTCACTAATATTTTTATATAATTTCTTCACTTACATGTTCAATTGGCAAATCAACTTCGGGTTTTGTGGTTTCGCCAGCCAGCTCAGATTTAGTGCTTGTAGTTTCAATAATACCCTAAGATTAATAAAAGTATAATTATTATCAATCGAATTATAAGTCAAAAACTTGTGTAACTGGCCAAGTATATTAAAGATAAGCTGGCCACACTATAAGAGCGGTGGCCTATCCCTCTCTCTCAAGAGAGAGCGCTAGAGAGAGCGGCTTGCGTGCAGCGAAGCTCAGTCTCGATCGAACCAAGAAGTAAAGACAACGTGTGTGAGATATAAAAGTTAAATAAAGAGACCTTGATTATTCCTGGTTAGCTTAAGCACGCCGAAGTTTATATACACTGGCAGTTATTTTTCCGGTGACCTGTGCTATTTATTTAAAAAAGTATTAAAGGAATTTTTCCTCAACTACTTGGCATAATTTTCTGCGTATTCAAATGATCACGAAATATAAACTACATTAGTCAGAAATTACATATTTATTAAAATCAAAATAAGAATTTTTTGCGGCAGACTATTCATTTACAAAGATATTGCACTTTTTTATACCACTGCATACCACACACAAAATATGTTAAAATTACATGTTTTTTGATTTCGACGCAACGTTTTAGCGTAGACTAGGCTGGTACTTACAGCTGTTGCTGCCAGTCACAAAGAGCAGTGTTTGATCACTGTAGTTGCCATATGATTTTTTTTTTAGAGGGGAATACGGGATACTTTAATGCATACTAGTACATTGTGTAATGTTATTTTAAAATTGTGAGAAGGCGGCACTAAAACCATTATTACTCTAGTTAACACCCAAGATCTTTCAGGTCGTTAATGAATGATCTAGTCGAATGTCTAGATCAATTGGCACTAAAAGTTGTGTTTGCTGTCACAGTCTCATTAAGAAGTTTTCGCCTGCATTTATGGTTTTTTCCTAATATCTGGTGTGCTCAACCAAATTTCCAGCTGACAATTTATTTTAAGGATAAAAGTTAAATTTATTTACATATGAATCGGATAAAACAGTAGTGAATTAAATACAAAAAAAGAATCTAATGTAAATTAAAAAAACAAAAAAACCAATGTTTGAAAAGTAAAAAAGAAGGTGGGACTTACAAAATTGTTGGTGTGTTGATAGATATTGACCAAATATGTTTTTAAGTTTTTAATAACTATCCTATACCAAGTTTATACAGAAGATGGCTTTTTGTGGCCGTATCAAAATTTTGAATTTAACTTGCGCTGCGTAGCAACAGAATCTGCATATTGAAACTAAAAACTGTAGCCTTAGCTGGATTGTTTCCGATATTTAAACGTTTATACGGACGGACAGAAAACTGTAATGGCAAGATCGACTCGGCAAATGATCCAGGTCACGGTAATATACACCTTAAAGGGCCGAAAACGCTTCCTTTTATATTTTTTTCGACAAATAAATTTAATAAATTCCAAACAAAAATTGATTTAAAAGTCGTTAGCTTGCATGGATTAATGTAAGCTAAATAAAGCTGCATTTTAATAGCTTAAAAGCGTTAAATTGATGTATGCGTAAGAATTTCTTACTTCTTCTGTCAAATTTTCTGTGCAGTCTTGTAATACCGTTTTTTCGGTTTTTTGAACTTCTTCGTCTTCGTCTTCAACTTGTATATTTGATGTACCTTGTGGCACAGATGAGTTTTCAGCATTAGATGTGCTTACAATAATACAATTTTCATCTTTTATGACAGCCACGTTTTGATTATCATCAGAAACAATGGGCGGTTTTTCGTTTTTGGTATTGGCAATGACTGAATTTTCCAAAGTAATAGTTGTGTCTGTCTTAACAGGTGACTGTTCTATGTTAAGGTCCTTGGATTCTTTTTCATCCGTATTAGCAGTGGTATCAGTATCCAATGACCCAACCGGTATTGACGGCTTTTCGACTACGGTATCCGTGTTCTCGCTTTTTAAACTACAGTTTTTGGATTCCTTGTCTTCAATTATTAAGTCAGCATCGTCGATATCATCTGTTCGGCTATTGGGCTTATCTAAATCACTGTCACTGCTTAATTCCAAAGGGGTTTCGACTGAGTTACCATTATCTTCGGAAGCCAACACATCAGCATGTAACTCTTCCGTGCCATTTTTTGTTTCAAGAACTTTTTCCTTAAGATGGTAAAGAGAAAATGCTGATGTCAACTCTAATACTTGTAATTTAATTATGGTTAATTACAACTTACAGCTTACAAAATCATTATCAGACAAGAAAGAAAGCAAACCTCGACAAGCCGAAGTTTATATATCTTTGCAGTTATTACAAATCGACTAAATTTCGATTCCTATGCTAATATAGGCATCGTTACTATGGCAGCTATATGATATTGTTGTCCGATTTTATTTTAATTAAAACCATAATTCCATAATATTTAAATACAGTAGAATCCGGTTATAACGACTCCATACAACTTATAAGATACAAACTTATATGGTTAGTGCGTCTTCCGGGAATAACTACGTAAAATCGTCGGTCTTTTGAAAGTCGCTATAATCGGATTCTACCAAATCCCAAAAAACAGAAAAAAAACAAAAAAATTAATATTGTTGTCGAATTTTTTCCGATGGTTCCTATGGGAGCTATATAATATAGTCGCCCGATCCGGCTCGTTCCGACTTATATACTACCTGCAACAGAAAGACAACTTTTGGGAAAGTTTCAAGCTGATAGCGTTAAAACTGAGGGATTCATTTTTTTATCTTATCGATGATTTAATTTTAACAAAGGCAATTAATGTATTTTTCGAGGACTTTTGGCTGTCAAAATCTGATAACTAAATAATATTCTCTGATGTTAAACAATTGGAATAACTCCCGAAAAACTAGATTTTTTAAAATTGACAAATTAATAAAACAAATTTATTATCTGAAGGACTGTTGAAATTACAATTATTTTTTACTTTGTGAAAATTTCATTTTCAAGTATTATATATAAAAAAAAAACATTTTGTATCCTTTTAAAGGTGTCATTTTGGGTAATGGTTTATTCATTTTACCCAATTTTTGTAATTTTGTTTAAATTTTCTGTTTCTGGAGTATTACCTTCATTTAATTTTGTAGGTCAGTGTTATTAGCCACGTTTAACAATATAATTAAAAGTATTTTTATCATTCAAGTCTGTCATAATTTCAATTTGCAATCACAAATTCTGTGAAGGTGACAAGACAATATCTTTAAAAGCAGAGTAAGACTTAAACATATTTTATATTTATGGTTGCTTAGATTTTAAAGCCCAGATAAAGCAAATTAATTCGTTTAACCTAGACAATTATTTTATTTTTGAGAAAATTTGAATATTAACTAGCTTAATTTGATTAAGTTGAGTTCGAGACTAAGTACACATGTGAAATTGGCTTTTTCACATGTAATATATGCGTCGTCGAATTGTCAATGAAGTTAATCTATGCTAGGAGTTCGTTACACGATTTGAGTTTTGATTATCTCTTATCAGACCCTTTTTAATGTGAAATAATCAACATAGCGCAGGAAAGGTATATATTTAATTTGTGGACGCCAAATGAATTTTAAAGGTCTCTCCCAAATTTAAAAAAACTCAAGTCGTGTGTGAAAGAAATAAGCATTTTGTAATGCTAACTAATATGAAAGATATTTATTTATTTCTAGTAAAGACAATATATAGTACTAACCACAGTATTCGAAGTAGAATCCATTTCTCAAAGTTATATCAATCTAAAAAAACAAATAAATAAGTAAGTTAGGTACATTTAAAATCAACCACTTGTAGAAAAAACATTTTGTTGTAAGAAGAAAAACAGCAACAGGATCACATAAATAAAAGAATGCATAAATATGTAGATGACAAATACATCGTTTTTACTTGTTCATGTACATATAAAATCACGAGGGACCGTAATTAAAGTTAAAGGGTGATGTTCTTATGTAATACATTTTTCACGAATTACAATCCATATTCTCAAATAGCTATGAACATAATAAATCTGTTTTTGATTTATTTTTTAGGACTTCAAAATTACGACATTTACCTGCTTATTTTGAGGTGGTGTTCCGAATAGAAAATGTTTACTTTTTACAATACAATCGAATTATTGAAAGAAAATAAAAAAACCTAAATCCGTTTAGACCAAAAGAATGGACAGGAATACATACGCCTTTGTGTTTCGAGAATATGAGTGCACATCAAAGATAGCTTCCACACTGTCCACATTTTGCCTATTTACTATATTATCGAGTCTTTACCATACGACACTTCAGAAAATTTAAATTTAAATCTCACACATACAACAAGAAGTATTCACAGATGCCACAGATTGTAATTTCTACATATAAGAACAGTAGAGAGAATCTCTTCCCAATGTGATGCTGTTTAACGCATTGATTAAATACAATTTTGTTTTACGTTTTTATTTTTGAGGCACTGGATATGAGACAAACATACAGTAGTAAATCTGAAATATTTATACCCACACTGAGTATATTATAGTTTTGGTTGGAACTTTTAATTAATGAATATAAAATTTATAGGAAATGAAGCAAATATACATTTTAATAGGGTTGTAGAGTTGTCTCATGCAGCCTTCTTCTTGTTAAAACTCTTAATTTTTGTTTAAATGACCTTCTAACCAAAAAAATGTAAAAGTTTTAGAAAATATAAAAATAAAATTTAATAACGGAAATTAAAACAAAAGCGCATACAAATTCATGAATAGACGTTAGGGTATATAAACTTCGACTTTCCGAAGCTAGCTCTTATTCATTTTGTTATGATATTAAGTATTTTGGTTGATTGAATTAAGTAAAAGCGCGAGTATACAAATTCTTTAAAGAAATAATATATAAACAAGAAAGGAAAGCTAACTTCGGGCGGAGCCGAAGTAACTGAACAATCGGAAATCCCATAACTTTGGTGTTTTTAAAATTAGGAATTTGGGATTTTCAATCAATCCGACCTACCAAATTTCATAGGGATCGGCCGACTATAACCTAAATAATTAATTCTATGACCATTACTGCCCGTTACTGTCACTCCCTTGCATTATAAAAGATGCTGAAAAGGGTAGAAATAAATTTAAATTAAAATCTGTATGGCGCGTTTACAGAATAGGGCATATCGGCAATGGATGGCGGTCACATTGTAAATTGCGGGGAATTATACACACAAAAAAAAACAAAATCGTTTTGTAAAACAAATATCTGAATAAGTCGACCAGTGATGCTGATCAAGAATATATATTTTTCAAAAGGTCGGATATATCTCCCTTACCTCGTTGTTAACTTCTGACTATAATTCGAATACTCTCTGCAAGGGTATACAAAACGGTCTGATATTTCGCTAAGTCGAAAAGCTTTTTGCTGAAAGCTTACATTAAATAAAATTAAAAGCTCGTACACGCTTCAAAAACTTTTAACCGATATCTAACAACTAACCAGTTAATTACATTTGGTAGACCGGATTGATTGTTACAAAGGAATGCATCGGATTTCCCTAGATCAATTTTAAACAAAACAATTTTAAATTTCGGGTCATTATGATGCACTCTTTTCCAAGTTTTTGTATAACTACGCAGATAATTTTTTTTATTGAGTCGTTAAGAGGAAACTTCATTATTCAACCAGTTCAGCATCTTGAAGGCTATGATTACACCACACAGTCATTTTCGATGAATTTAAAGAGTGAAAGTCATCTTGAAATCGTTAATGAGTGGAAATATTTGGACTTTGAATATTCAACATTTGTCGAACGTCAACAAGCAATTTTGAATGGGTAACTAAAAATTAAATAATTCTTCTTTAATAATAACGAGGAAGTAAGTTGTCGTCTGCAAGCGTACTGCAGTTATACTGAAACTTGATGTGTATATTAACCTTGACAAGAGCGTCTTTAATAAAGCCAAAGGATACAATTGCATTAGAGTTATTTGGATAAATGCATACCACAATTTTTTGTATTAAAATCGTTACCAGTTAAAAAAGATTCAATTAATTAATTTGTTTTAATAGATAGACCTGACCAAGATGTAAACTTGTGCAAAGTTTTTTAAAAACTAAAATAAATTTTTTTTGTATTGTCGTGAGTAGTTATATAAGACGAGATACACAAAAAATGTATTTATTTTATTGGTGATAATATGTTTATTAAATGATTGATTTATAACGGAGAAGAAACGAGAAAGGAAGCAGTTATTACAAATCGACTACATTTCGATTTCTATGCCTATATTACTAAAATCAATAAAGCTAAACATTTTGCCATCGTTTCTATGACAGCTATTTGATATTGTTGTCCGATTTTAAAACCGTAATTCCATAATATTAATATTAAGAATATATATACTTTATAGGATCGGAAATGTCTGACTGAAATTATAATACCCTCGGTATAAAAATAATATTTATTCTATTTGTTTGTTGATTTTATTATTCAAATGCTATGGGATAGACAAAACATCTGGTAATTTTAAAAACATCGATTTTGCTGTTTGTCTATTGTCAATTGATGTTAACAAAATTTCTAAATTAATATGCCTTATTTTCATTTCGATGCTTAAAAACAGTGAAGATTTCGTTCTTATAAAAGTAATTTACGGTCTTACTTACCGTAGTATATGGGTATATGCTAAGAATCAAGGAAGTTTTCATTTTATTTTCCCTTCTCCGATTTTTTTATATCGCCGTTATCTGATACAGACGTCCAATTTTTACAAGCCAAAAATTTCTGAAATTGCTAAGTCTTGCAAAGCTTCATACATATAGCTTTTAAGCTAAAAAAATGTGCCTTTCACTAATTGCAAACTTTTGACTGAAATTATAATACTTTATGCAAGGGCAATAGTAATAATAAAGGGTTTATAACAAAACCGTATTGGTTTACTAAAGAGAATTCGCGATCTACATATATTTTATATATATAGATATCGATCTTATATACGATTTCTTAAAAAAATTTGTATACCCTTGCAGAGGGTATTATAATTTCAGTCAAAAGTTTGCAACGCAGTGAAGGAGACATTTCCGACCCTATAAAGTATATATATTCTTGATCAGTATCACCAGGAGAGTCGATCTAGCCATGTCCGTCTGTCGGTTTCTACGCAAACTAGCCAATCAGTTTTAAAGCTATCTGCTTGAAACTTTCTCAAAAGTTGTCTTTCTATTACAGGTAGTATATAAGTAGGAACGAGGCGGATTTATCGACTATATCATATAGCTCCCATAGGAACAATCGGAAAAAACAATTCCAAAAAAATTATAACTTTGCTGTTTTTAAATATTATGGAATTACAGTTTTAATTAAATTAAAATCGGACAATATTATCTTATAGCTGCCATACAAACGATGGCAAAATGCAACGCAAAATCGACATAGCTTCATTAATTTTAGTCATATAGGCATAAAAATCGAAATGTAGTCGATTTGTAAAAACTGCAAGGGTATATAAACTTCGGCTTGCCGAAGCTTGCCACCTTTCTTGTTAGTTCTAAACAAGAAAGGAAAGATAACTTCGGGCGGAGCCGACTTCATAACTTTAAAATCACCATTGTTATGACATTTCCAATTGTTCAGTTATATGGCAGCTATAGGATATAATCGGCCGGGGTTAGCTTTCCTTTCTTGTTTTCTATACCTATTTTCGGTCTTACATTATATCTCGTCTAAGCATTTCCCGGGTGGGAGATGGAGACCGTGCTATCGAATTGGCGATGATCAGGGAAGCTAGCTTAAAAATATAAGTTAAGACTGTTCTCTTGATTAATACTTATTAATTTAATTTTTTTCGGTTGTTGTTAAATTGATATAAATTATTTTTTATTTCTTGTTAAATTATTTTCAGCTTATAAAAAAAATTGTTTTTCAGCAAACGCATTTAAAAACTGCATTTAAAACTTTTATACTTTTTTTTTTACTTACAGAGACTTCGTGCCAAAAAATAATTTACCTCTTGGTATAGATGTTTATCAAGACCGACTGTTTGTTACAACGCCTCGTTGGAAGGATGGAGTTCCTGCAAGTTTAGGCACAATTCCGTTTCCTCCAAAAGAGTCGAGCCCAGCAATAAAACCGTATCCGAATTGGGAGGCTCATGGAAACCCCATTAATCCCGACTGCTTAAAACTAATATCGGTGTATCGTACAGCGGTAGATAGATGCCAAAGGCTTTGGATGATCGATTCTGGTATTGTTAATGCGACAATCAATTTAAATCAGATCTGCCCGCCTAAAATAGTTGTATATGACCTTAATACTGACGAATTGATCGTTCGATACAATTTGGAAAAATCTCATGTTAAGCAGGATTCCCTGCACTCAAATATAGTTGTGGATATTGGAGATAATTGCGACGATGCTCATGCTATTGTATCAGATGTATGGAGATTTGGGCTTGTTGTTTATAGCCTTTCAAAAAACCGAAGCTGGAGAGTGACAAACTATAATTTCTATCCCAACCCAATTGCTTCAGACTTTAATATATACGGATTGAACTTTCAATGGATGGATGGTGTGTTTGGTATGAGTATATCTGGCAAAAAGGGAAGTGTGCAACGGCATCTTTACTTCCATCCCATGGCAAGCTTTAAGGTAAGAGGTACAAAAGATTTTAGAATAATTAAAAAAAAATTACAATTCTATTAATATTTCTTAATTTCTTTTTATAATTTATTTGCAAAAAAATAATAATAATGAATTTTAAAATAAACAAGAAAGGAAAGCTAACTTCGGGCGGAGCCGAAATTGATATACTCTTGCAGAATAATCTGTAAATTATATTCTCCAAAATTATTCATATGATGCATTCATAATACTTATAAAAAATCCCAACTTCCTAACTATCAAAATTCCAAAGTTTTGGCATTTCCAATCGTTCAGTTATATGGCAGCTATAGGATATAGTCTACCGATCCTTAAATTTGCCGATCTAAAAATTTGCATATTTAAAGTGGTGGGAATAAAAAATATGCAGCTTTATGACACAAACTTAAATTTGGATATGGGTTCGTCAATGTTAACTAGGATATTCTCCATTAAAATCGAAATTAAGATAGCATCTTCAGAATTTGGCGGACAAAGGCTTTGAATTTTTAACATAGTTGGGAGAACATAACACAACGATAGGGAAGTTTTCGCAAGACATTGTCACCTGTAGATCTTTGGAAGTCCATTGATTTCATTCCCAAAACAATATCGAAAAATATCCGTTTGGTAGTGAAATGTAACGCCTAGAAAATTTCTTTTCACGTAGTTGTAGTCACTGAGGCTCCACTGCAGCTTACAATGTTAATTACTTCGTCTTTAATATTTTGTTTTCTCTCTGTGGCGCACTTTTTGACCTTTCGAGAAATTGTAGTGGTAATAAATCTTCCAAAACGATGTGTTCACCATAAGAGGCCCCGATCTTGATGAAAAATTGTACTAGCTTAAGAAAGCCAGATCCACGCACAGCTGTAAATGGTCGACAGTCTTCCGTTATCCACGATGTACATTTTTCTATGACCTCAGACTTGTCCAAAGCTGAGACACATTTTAAAGGTGATGTCTGCTTAGTTAATTTGCAGCAGCTATGACTGTTTAAATTATATGTTTGGCTTTCGGTGTACTTTAGAACCTTGGAGCAAGTGCGGCAGAATACGAATCCGGTCAATAAGGTGTTGTCTGGCTTTACAATTTCTGCCAAGACATTCCAAATAAAACTGCGTCCTTTACGTTTGGCAGATACTGTGTATGTGGCAAGTGTAATTTGCTCAGCAACACTTTCAATGTCAATTTATACAAACTTTACAAATTATCGCCTGCCAGCGAAAAAAGTCAAACATAGCGTGCCAAAAAACTCACAAAGAGGCCCAAGGCAAAGTCGATCAAACCGATCTCAAATGAAAAGTACCGTACGAAAAACCACTTATGTAAACCATCTGAACATAAGCGAACCCAAATATTTGATCACAACAATCATGTATGAGCAATGTTGCACTCACAAACGATCATGCCTGCGGTTAAGAACGATCACGGTCATTGATAAAGCCTAGTATCCTGATCGACGAAAACCGTACGCCAGTCATGAGAGAGAGCGAGAGGCAAACAGCTGGCGTTTACTTTTCGTCGGGCCTTTTTTCACGTCGGTCTCCTGATCGACGAAAAAAATACCAGAAAATTCCATAGCGTTGCCAGTCTGCGGAAACGTGAACCCTAGCGAAAAGATTAAGAAATTTAATCTTTTGGCGTGCGCTTCTCACTGAACATTATAAGAAATGGAGGGAAAAACTCAAAAAACTCACAAAAGTCGATTGCAGGTGTTTACATGTGAGGACAAAATAACATTAATACTATCTGGGGTGCCTCTTGTCAGAGCAAAATGTTTTTTAGGTCCAGAATGTACGAAAAAACACAATAAAAGTGCTAGCTGCACTTTAAACTGAACTTTAAATAAGCAAATAATTATCAGTAAATTAAAAAAAAGAACTGTTAATTTTAAATTGTATTGTTTTTTAATTTCTTTGTAAAGCGGTAGACTTTTCTTGCCAAGGTATTTGATAATATCTTTTAAAGGCTCTTTCCCGCAAATACGATATTTGAATTTTAACTGCTTGTCAACAAACCCAGCTGATTGACAGTACGACCGTAGCACGCTTAACTCTGATGAACTCTCAAACTTTTGGTCACACTGGAAAGATTAAAGTTTTTACGCTAGCGTAATCGTTTGTCGATCTGGATACTAGGCTTAAGCTTTGATCGTTTGATGCAACAGAAATGTTCACTCACAAATGCTCACCGCTCACACTTTTTGGATCAAACAAAGTGATTCAAAGTCACAACTGTCAATGACGACAAATGTGTTTTTATTTCGCTCCGCCGAGAAACTAAAAAAATACACCACAAATAGCCGAATTCTATTTCCCGAAAAGACGATCAGAATGTACGCATGGGTACCTGTGCTCATGTGCTTACTGTAGCAGAGTAAAACACGCACCAGTTCAGGTCGGGATCACTCTCAAGACTGCCCTTCTCTCATTTATTGTCTGCTTTTCTAACATTATCTTAACAGCTAGGAACTTTAACAGAATGTATACATATAGATAACAGGCCGAGTATATTTGTGTGTTTTTATTTACAGAGATGCTTAGGGCTATTACTATGTATAATGTGTATAAATACTAATAGTGTTGCTTAGGGCTGCTACATTACTAAGATAAGTGATAATACAGTTTGTTACAATAAAGGGCAACCCTCGGCAACAACAACAAGACGAACGTCGGCTCTCGTCAATCAGAAATAACGCTTACTTCTCCATAATAGCGGAAGAGTGCACAGAACCGGCAACAACTGCAACACTGCAAGCGAATACGGAGGCACGCTCGCTCTCTCCAGGCGTATTATGTCCAAGCGGCACATCACAAAAAAAGCCGTGGAGTGTCCAATGCCAGTCCCCCGACCCCTACAACTTAACAAACGATCTGCTCAATACAACAACGACCAGCACAATGCCCTCGTTTAAAAAGGTGACTTCGACACTAACGACGTCAACAACCACATCAACTGCAGTGTCTGTTTCGTCAGCTCTTACTGTCAAGCTAGCCCCTACCCAAACCAGAAATACAAAAAATTTTAACGGATCATGAATACAAACAGTTTATATACCCTTGCAGAATACTCTGTAAATTATATTCTCCAAAATTATTCATATGATGCATTCTTAATACTCATTAAAATCCCAACATCCTAACTTTAAAAATACCAAAGTTATGGAATTTCCGATCGTTCAGTTATATGGCAGCTATAAGATATAGTCTGCGGATCCTTATGAAATTTGTTGATTGGCCAAAAATGAAAACCATAGAAAATCCCAACTTCCTAACTTTACAACCACTAAAGTTATGGCATTTCAGATCAATCAGATTTATGGCGGCTATTGGATATAGTCGGCCGATCCCAGCCGTTCCGATTTATATACTGCGTACAAAGGAAAAAAGGGTGTGGTGCAAAGTTTCAATTCGATATCTTTAAAACTGTGAGACTAGTTCGCGTAGAAACAGACAGACGGACAGGCAGACGGACAGACGGACATGCTTATATAAACTCAGGACGCGATCCTGATCAAGAACATATATTCTCTATAGGGTCGGGATGTCTGCTTCACTGCGTTGCACACTTTTGACCAAAATTATAATACCCCTGCAAGGGTATAATAACTGATCAAATTGGAGCAAACAAGTTTTATGTAAAGTCCATAAAAAGGGGTAACATCAACGAATCAAAAATTCAAGTGAACGACGAGCAAGATTACCGATCAGTGGTTAAACACCTTGATAACGGAAAAACCACTGCGGATACAGTGCGGCAATCAATATTGAACCAGAATCCAGAAACTACTTTCTAACATACAACTGCAAGCACACAATTGCCTAATGGCGTAGAAGCAATGCTGGTAACTATAACCAACACAATGGTAGCAATACAGCAAACGCTGCAGGAACTTATGCGCTCTCAAAATCTCCTATTGGAGCTTTTAATCAAACAGAAATCTGCTTAGATGTTTTCCTTAAAAATATGTTTCTGAAATGCGAACGGCATTTCACAGCACAAATACGAGCTCTCGCAGTTCCTAGATCAGTATGACATTGAAGACATGCTTATATCAGAGATTCACCTAACAAACAAAAACTATTTTCACCTTAATGGCTATACATTTTATGAAACAAACCATCCTGATGGCAAGGCTCATGGCAGTACTGGCATACTGATCAAGAAACCCATCAGGCACTATGAGTTGCCATCATTTGCATCATTCCGAAGATGAATTTGTACAGTTCTTTGACCAGCTGGTGATTACAATGCAAAACACACCCACTGGGGCTCTCGACTCACCAACCCCAAAGGAAGAGTGGCTAGAGATCATGAATCACTCATTTCATCTCTACGATCATCCACAGCTTTCAGAACGCATATATGTTCTAACCTCCCGTAAAACAGATTGGGTTAAATACAGAAAGTACGTAAGCTCCCATATTGATGGCTACCAAAAAGAACTAGTGTCTGTTATGTCGCTAGCTGCACAACACTCCACCCCTTTTATACCGGCTTGTAATCCTGATAACAACTGTCGGGCTTCTGGGCATATTAACGAACTGCTACGCAATAAGCGAAGGCCTCGGAGGGAGTGACTTAAAACAGCAAACTATCTTCTACTCACAGCCTTAGAAGATGAATTTAATCGATCTCAATTATCCTATTTGCAGCATCTCTCCCCAAACAGCAAACGATATCCACTGTGAAAAGCTAAATCAGGTATATGTCCACCAATCGAAAGTGAGTCGCCATTACGCACACAAACAGGAGCTCGCAGCAATGAAGAGCAGTCAAATGTATTTGCCGCACATCTAGAAAACGTTTTCAAACCACTCCCACCAACAAATAGCTTTGTGCTCCCAACAAACATCTTTCCAGAGGCTAACCTGCCTATCATATTTCAATCAAGAGAAGTGATAAAAATGAAAAAAATAAACTGCCAGGACACGATTTAATCTCCCCTAAAATGATTATAGAATTGCCAAACTGTGCAGTAAATCTCGTCACCACAATATTCAACAGCATGATGAAATTGGGCTGTTATCCACAACAATGGAAAAAGTCTGTCATCACTATGATCCACAAAGCCGAAAAGGACAAGTCCCATTATGTAGGATAATCAATCTCCTGCCATGCCTATCAAAGATATTTAAAAAGCTGCTCCTGAATCGTATAAAGCAACACCTACAGTCCCATAATGCCATTCCAAACCACCAATTTGGTTTTCGCGAGAAACACGGAACCATTGAAGAAGTAAACCGAATAACCTCCTAGATACGAAATACATTTGAAAATCGCCCAGGTCTTCGACCGCGTTTGGCAGGACGGTTTAATTTATAAAATTAAAACCTTGCTTCCACAGAACACCCATATCTTGAGCATAGAAGTTTCGCATTGCTATGTAAAGATTTCCTCTCCGAATACCATACAATTAAAGCTGCAGTACCTCAAGGTAGCGTGCTTGGACCAACACTGTATATAATTTACACAGCAGGCCTTCCGACAACCAGTCTTACAACAACCTCAACAGTTGCTGATGATACTGCCTTTCTAAGTCGATCTAAGTGCCCCATAAGAGCAACGCAACAGTCAGCTCATATCGGGCTTCTAGAGAATTGGCTAGCAGATTGGCGCATAAAGGTTAACGAGCAAAAGAATAAACACGTCACCTTTACCCTAAACAGACAAACTTGCACCCCACTATCTCTGAACAACTTTCATGGTGCACAAACAACTGAAGTAACATTTCTTGGAGTCCACCTTGATAGACGGCTTACTTGTGCGAAAGCACATCGAAGCTAAGAGAACACAACTTAAATTAAAAGCAAGAAGGGTTCATTGGTTAATAAATGCCCGTTCTCCGCTATAAATGGAGTACAAGGTTCTTCTGTACAATGCAGTTTTCAAGCCAATTTGGAAATATGGCTCCGAGCTTTGGAGAAACGCATGCGTTAGCAACCTAGAAGTAATACAGCGAGCTTAATCAAAGATACTGAGAACTATAACTGGTGCACCGTGGTACATACGGAATGAAAACATTCACAGAGATTTAAATGTGGGATCTGTTAAACACGAAATCGACAGTGTAAAAGCAAAGTATACGATCAAGCTACAGGCTCATCCAAATAGGCTTGCGCGGTCTTTAACCTGGAACACCAGCCATTCACGACTCAGGCGAAGAGATCTCCACACTCAGCAACAATAGCTAGGGCCCTTCTCCTAAAAAACTTAATTTTAACTAATTAAATGTATTAAATGTATGTATTAAGCTAAGACTTGAATACTTGTCGTTAGTCTCGAAGAGGGAAGATTCGATAAATAAACTTGATCTGCGTACACATGTTTTAGGACGGCAGTGAAAGTTTCAGATCACTATCTTGTAAACTGACGGGTAGACGGACATGGCTATATCGATTCCCCTATTGATCCTGATCAAGAATATTTATACTTAATGGGGTCGGAAACGTCTCCTTCACTGCGTTACAAACTTCTGACCAAGGGGATAAAAAGGATGTGTTGAATGAGCTGAAGTATTTTAAGTCGTTTAAAAAACTGAGCAAATCCGTTTATTGCCTGATCTGTGGTTGCCGGCAGGTTTTTTCAGAGGGTATGGATAGGATGTAGATCTATACTTCATGTTTATAAAATTATAATTGCTTTTTCTATATTTATTTATTTTTCTATTATTTATCAAACACTATTTACAATCTTCTACAAAATTAAGATACGACAATTTGAAACTACTTGAAACATTAAAAAAATATTCAGAAAGCAAATTACGAAATTATATTTTATTGCTAACGCTTAATCATATGCTAGAAGCAGATCCTTGTAGTAACTAAGGTAGTAACTAATTCGGCTTTATTGACAGGCGCATAAGTGCAAGCAATAATCATTTTTAAAAGCTCTAAGGTGACTGTACAATCGTCAAGCTAGGAGAGACCTAAGGCTAAGTCCAAGAGCAATTAGGTGTAACGTAAAGACAGCAAATGGTACCAAAAACACAATGTTTACAGTTGGCGGTAAACTCTGGCACAAAACAGAAAAGCAAAAAGTGTTTTTGTTGATATTTAAGTTATGCAAAATACAAAGTGATTTTTTATAAAGGGTAGAGTTGCTTCATAATGACGAAAATCACAGGAAGGAGACATGATGTCATCAGATATTAAACGAAAAGGTTTTCTCAGAGAAGACTCAATATGACGGTATAGCACGTCTGATGTAATAATTAGCGGCAGCATTTCATACGCCAGTCATGAGAGAGAGCGAGAGGCTAACAGCTGGCGTTCACTTTTCGTCAAGGGTTTTTTTCACATCGGTCCTCAGATCGACGAAAAAAATACCAGAAATGTTCATAGCGTTGCCAGACTGCGGAAATGAACTTTGGGTGAACCCGAGCGAAAAGATTACAAAATTTAATCTTTTGGCGTGCGCTTCTCACTGAACATTATAAGAAATGAAGGGAAAAACTCAAAAACCTCGCAAAAGTCGATTGCAGGAGTTTACATGTGAGGACAAAATAACATTAATACTCTCTGGGGTGCCTCTTGTCAGAGCAAAATGTTTTTTAGGTCAAGAATGTACGAAAAACACAATAAAAGTGCAGCTATGAACTTTAAATTAGCGAATAATTATCAATAAATTCAAAAAACAACTGTTAAATTTAAATCACGCTTTAAAGCACGCTTAAATCTGATAAACTCTCGAAATTTTGGTCACACTGGAAAGATTAAAGTTTTTACGCTAGCGTAATCGTTTGTCGATCTGAGTACTAGGCTATAAGCAAGAATGAGGGTTAACTGGCCAAAAATTTATTTTGAATTCGGCTTTTATGAGAAAGTGAAATAGAATGCGATGACACAACAAGGTGCTCTTTAAATTGGGAAATGTTCTCACGACTCACGAAATATGGCTTATATTTTGATGCGGATGAATCAATTACTACCGGTGATGATAAAGTGGGATCATTTCATCACACCAGTTTCAAACCAAAAAACAATTAAAATTAAAATAAGAAACACAAAGGCAAGAATGACTTCTATATATTATATTGAAACACCAAAAAATCTCAAGCTCTTTGAGTTTCAAGAAACCGTCAATGAAGGCATCACGAGTTAGAATATTAAAAGAAAAACTATTTATTTAGGTGCTCCCAAGAGTCTATGGAAAAATCCTATTTTTTCTTCTTTTACAATATATTTAAAACTCTCCGCGAAAAAAAACCGTCCGGATTCGTCTTCAGAGCTGAACAACATTTTAACGAAACAAAATTATTAACATTTAATCTATTTTGGTCAAGTAAGTATCTATGTAAAAATAAACGGGTTTTAATATATGTTAATTTTGAAAGGAATTGCGAATTATTTTCATATTATTAGTAAATAGATATTATTTATTGTTATTAGTATAAAGATATTAAAGTAATATAAATTTCAAGTACAAATAACATCAATTATTTTATATTTATTCTAGGAGTTTATGGTACCGATGGATCTCTTGCTAAACGAATCTTTATGGATAAATTCTAATCAAGACAACGCAAAGTACTTCTTTTCAATTGGGGATCGTGGATTTAATAGTCAGTCATCTACTTCCGGAATCACAAGGAATGGAATAATGTTTTTTACACAAGTTCATGAAGACAATGTTGGTTGCTGGGACACAACAAAGCCATACACTCGAGCCAATTTGGGAAAACTTCTAGATCTAAAAAAGGAACCAAACTTAATACAATTTCCTAATGATTTAAAAATAGACAACAGAGAAGACCAAAGTGTATGGATAATGAGTAACCGACTGCCAATTTTCTTATATAGCAACCTGGACTATGGAGAAGTCAATTTTCGGATATTAAAAGCGAGCGTGAATAAGATTGTTCGTAACAGTATTTGCAATCCGAGCAATAAGAACGTTAATGAATCAAAATCCGCTTATGTGTTTATAGAAGAAGGACAATGTTATTAAAAGTTTTGTAAATAAAGGTTTTCGATCTTGCTGTCAATCATCTATTTAAAGACGCCCTGGAGTACCAAAATTTCAAAAAGACTAACTATTTTTTCATTCTGACGGCAGCCCTGAGAGTCGAAAAGTATGCGAAGTGCCGAGAGGCAACTTAGTAGTTATACCCGTTACTCGTAGAGTAAAAGGGTATATTGTATTCGTGCAAAAGTATGTAACAGGTAGAAGGAAGCGTTTCCGACCCTATAAAGTATATATATTCCTGTTCAGGATCACTGCCGAGTCGATCTAGCCATCTCCGTCTGTCAGTCTGTCTGTCTGTCCGTATGAATGCTGAGATCTCGGAAACTATAAAAGCTAGAAGATTGGCATTTTGCATGCAGATTTTAGGAGTTCCTACGCAGCGCAAGTTTGTTTCAAAATGGTGCCACGCCCCCTCTGACGCCCACAAGCCACAAGCTGTGGCCACAGTTTTGATGCTATTATGATACTTTTAATTGATATGTATTTCTTTCGTCAATACCTATCGATTGGCCTAATAAAAGTTTGCCACGCCCACTCTAAAGCCCAAAAACCCATAAAACGCTTAAGCCTGGCTAGCGCCTACATTTCCGCCTTTCATGGCCCGTGTTACCAATGTCTTGGGGTAGATGGCGCAATACAATATCGCCATCTAACGGATGACTTTGGAACAGCTCGTCAAGGTGCTCAACAGAGTCAACGTTAATTCACGATAAGGATTTCTATTAAAGGATATTGCGATGGTTTTTATTTGTCAATACCGAACTATATCCCAAGAACTATGCAAATCAAATCAAGTTAGCCAAATTGGAGGTCTGAGTCAAACAATGGCGTATGTGTGTATGTATGTAAGCATATACATATGCATGTATTTACATTGTACACAGTTGCAATTGCCCGGCAATTATAATATTAAATTGGTTATCTGAGTAACGGGTATCTAATAGTCGAGGCACTCGACTATAGCGTTCTCTCTTGTTTTTTCTTTGTTCCAGGTGTTTTTATTCCCTTGTGAGTGTATTATAATTTCAGTCAAAAGTTTGCATCGCAGTGAAGGACCCTATAAAGTATATATATTCTTGATCAGCATCACCATGTCCGTCTGTCCGTTTCTAGTCAGTTCAGTTTTATAGCTATCTGCTTGAAACTTTCCCAAAAGTTGTCTTTCTATTGCAGGCAGTATATAAGTCGGTGACCTTTACTTCCTTGCAAAAGGTCCAAGGTCTGCTCGCTTGACATTTTTAAACTACTCTTAACAAATTCATTGTTTTCGCAGGCTTTTTGAAGCTAAATAATTTGTACTTACGGAACCATATACTAATGCCATAAATATTTGTTATAATGCAATAAAACAGATTTCTTAATCTTGCGTTCCGTTGTACTATCCGTTTATCTAACATAAACCACATTAGTTGACACACCTAAGAAACGTTATTAAAAAAAAATACTCACTGGCTTGCTTTCAACGTTTAAAATGATAAGTTTATTATCTGATGGACGTTGATGCACTACGAGCAGTACAAACAAGTGGCCCAACGACACCAAGCACGTGCTTGTTACGCGCGGGCCCTATTATCAATTTGGGCAAAAAATGCGAGTTCGCGAGGAAAATACATAAATTAAATAGAGATCGGCAAACTTTTTTTCAAAGCGGCGTAGGTAAGTAGCTAGTAGTAATGATACCTTAAGTTAACATTTTGAGCGACTTTAGATAGCTGAGTCATCAGCGTACGTGTGTCATAAGTTAGTGGTTTGTGGGTATATCTTCCGAATATAGGAGGTAAGGACTGGGACGTTACCTTGTGGTACGCCTGCCGCGATGTCGATCTATTTGGTTAAAAGGCACTATTCAAGCACCAGGTGTACGTTTTGCGGAAGTAGAAGCTTAATCTATAGATGATACATTTTAGCCATGCTTTTCAAACGCCTGGGAGACTTCTAGGAAGATCTGTGTTCGAAACAGAGATTTGCAACGAGTATGATCGAGTCAACTCGACAAATACGTGATTGCGAGTGATACACTCCCGAAAGAAATAATCATGCTCGCTGCATCATTTTGACTACGAATTCTTGCAGTCTATCGGCCCGCTTCGTGTCGATCAACATGCTGATTCTTAGCTTTGTGTTAGAGTACATGAAATGATCGTTGGCGAAAAAATATGCAGCTTTAGCCATAAATTTAAATTTGGGACCATTATTCCGTCAGTTTTAACTAGGATATTCTCTTTTAAAATCGAAATTAATAACACAATCTGACTCTAAATGCAGGAACCAAAAATAAAACCCATAGAAAATCCGAACTTCCTAACTTTACAAACACCAAAGTTATGGCATTTCCGATCAATCAGTTGTATGGGAGCTATAGGATATAGTCGGCCAATCCCGGCCGTTCCGACTTATATACTGCGTGCAAAGAAAAGAAGGGTGTGTGCAAAGTTTCAATTTGATATCATTAAAACTGAGAGATTAGTTTGCGTAGAAACAGATAGACAGACAGAAGGACATGCTTATATCAACTCAGGAGGTGATCCTGATCAAGAATATATATACTTTATAGGGTCGGAGATGTCTCCTTCACTGCGTTGCTCCGAAGCAGGCGAAGACTGTCCCATCGGCCGGAAAGGTGATGACCCCCGTTTTTTTGGATTCACAAGGTGTGATCTACATCGACTACCTAGAGAATTGCAAAACGGTCACAGGGCTGTACTACGCCGAATTATTAGGCCCCACTTGGCGAAGAAAAAAGTGCTCTTCCATCATGACAACGCACCGGCTCACAAATTGGTCGAATTGGGGTAGCACCCCATCCACGATATTCTCCAGATTTGGCCCTGTGTGACTTCTTTTTATTTCCAATTTTGAAAAAGTCACTCGCTGGACAGAAATTTGCGTCGAATAAGGATGTCGTCGCCGCCACAGAGGCCTATTTTGCAAACCTCGAGAAAACGTATTTTTCAGACGGGTTAAAGAAGGCTGAGCATCGCTGGGTCAAGTGTATCGAGCCAAAAGGAGATTAAGTTGAGAAATAAATCGCCTCTTTTCCAAAATTTTCGTTTTTCTTTTGGAGGCTAAGTACTTATCGGACCGTATGCTTATGTATGACCATACAAAAAATTATTATTTGGCCTTGGCCAACGTTTTTATTAACATATGTCTGTATGTCTTCCTTGGATAGAAACGTCATGTAGTGTAGAGAATATTGCTTCTTTTTCTTTGTTATTTGTTATTATGGTCATCAGGTTAACTAGAGCCACTCTTAACGTTTTTAACCACCTATGCTTATACCCTTGCAGAGGGTATTATAAATTTGGTCAAAAGTGTGCAACGCAGTGAAGGAGACATCTCAGACCCTATAAAGTATATATATTTTTGATCAGGATCACCTCCTGAGTTGATGCATGTCTGTCCTACCGTCTGTCCGTCTGTCTGTTTCTACGCAAACTAGTCTCTCAGTTTTAGAGATAACGAATTGAAACTTTGCACACACCCTTCTTTCCTTGGCACGCAGTATATAAGTCGGAACGGCTGGGATCGGCCGACTATATCCTATAGCTGCCATACAACTGATTGATAGGAAATGCCATAACTTTAATGTTTGTAAAGTAAGGAAGTTGGGATTTTTATGGGTTTTATTTTTGGCCAATCAATGCAATCCTATAGCTGCCATATATAAGAACGATCGGAAGTGCCATAAATTTGGTGTTTTTAAAGTTCGGAAGTTGGGATTTTTATGAGTATTAGCCGAAGTTAGATTTTCTTTCTTGTTTTATTTAATTTTTTCCTATTTTTATATATTGTATTTCGTGCTTTGTTGAAAAACTATACCAATATTGTCGTATGTTTTGACACAGTGTTTTTTTTGTAATAGACTTTTGCTCCTGGTGGTCAGTACCATTGGTTTTTATTTGATCCCATTTACATACATTCGAGCTCTGAGATGCTACACTGGGTCGTTGAGACCAATAGTATAAAAAAAATTGCAAAATTTGGGTCTCTGTGATGTGTTTAATATTTCTTTTTTTTTCAAGATAGGTATTTAAAGTATTAATTTTTATTTATTAATTTGGATGGTGTTAAACCCTGTCTAGGTTAATTTTTCTGCTCTTATAACGCATATACAGATAATTTTTCTTTATAATTTGTATATTTATATGTAGTGACAATAAACAAAAGTAAGACAAACAGTGGTCTTATCATCTCTGTGGTCAATTACTTTGATATTATAGAAAACGTTCGCCGTATTGTCTTTGGCTTGGTTATCATCCGATAACATGTCACGGTCGCCATGTTGTAGTTTTATTTAAATAGCTTTAAATTTAATGGATTGATCGTAAAACTTTTGATTGAGTTATGTTTATTCGAATGTGCTGTAATGCATGTATTAGAGTCAACTTAGCCTTGGCTAAGCTAATGCCCCTCGGTATTATGTGTTAGAATAAAAGAGAGGATGTATATGCACTTAAACTGGATCATGCTTTGCGCCGAGCTATGTAAAATATGCCGCCGTTAGCACTTATTTCGTCTGAACCAAAATTTTTTTCGCACGTCGCACTTGAGATATACCTGTTTACGTTTAACTGCAACAAAGTGTTTTCTTAAGTGTACTTGGTACAGCGGGTATTCTTAATATATACATGTAATGAAGATTTATTGGTTATATTTTATATTGGTTAAATATGATTTGACAAAATTGATACAACTTAAATTCTCCGTGACATATAACGACTTTTCGACTTATTTTTTGTATATTCCGGACTTAATTCAGGACAACTTGCTTCTGCTCACTTTTGCTGCTTCCCTTCTACTGCCACTTCTCTTCTGTAGTTCTGCCAACCTGTAGCAACTGATCTGTTCCTTACATTCGGTCATCCTGGCCACTCGAGTCTGTCCCAGACGACAAATTATCCTCGTGCCAGTTGACATATTTCCACATCTTCATGTTGTCAGAGCTAGTTGACGGAGAGTTTGGCCCCTCAATTGCAGCAGCTTTTTTGACATCATAACGTCCATTTCTCTTAACAT